ACCCCCAGTTTTCAAGCGTTTGGTCCACACAGAGTTCAAATGAGCGTTCACACCACTCCAAACAAACTGAACTATCCGTGGAAGCGGACCAGGGTTCATTTAAAGTGGACCAAATAGCGCCAGTGTGAATGCTGCTAACTGGTAACAGCCACGAAAGGTCATAATAATAATAAAAAACACTAGCAATAACACAGGAATTGTGATGATCACCACACTTAAAATAATTCTGAGGGCATTTTTGTGTCTTTCTTACCTAAGTGCAGCACAGAGGAAATGAGAGAAGAGACAAACAGGCAATGACATGCAACAAAGGTTGCTGTTGATACACGGTTGGCACCTTAACCCCTTGGCCACCAGAGCACAGAGAGGACAACTTGTAGAACTAAAGATTATGGGGCTGTTGACCTGTGGTTTCAGAGCACCTTACCCCCGAGGACACTAAGTCAATGTTTGGGGGGGATTAGCTCTGCTGGCTCAGGTAAGATATTGACTCTCACCAGGGTGATTAAAGGTGATTTTAGTCCTGTTCACAGCAGTCTTATCTGTGATCGTTACAGGCCACAAGCCCCTGAGAGAGTGCAGGACAAATAATGTGTCAACACACGTCAATTTGTCAAAAATAAAAGATCACAACCGTTTCCAGTGTTTTCTTCTCCAGAATTCGTCACTGTTCCAGCTCACTGAGAATCAGATTACACAAAAGAAGAAAGTCGCGTGTTGCTGAGAAGCAGCAGGTAAGTGTTATTCTAAAGATGAGCTGCCCTCTCAGAGCTCCGGGTGACTGGTTTGGTTACTGCGAGTCTTGGACAGAAAATGACTGTGATTTGCTGTTTAAATAATAACAACAAGTGTTTTCAGCCAAGCAGACTATTTGGTCATGTCCCAGCTGTTCCAACAAGGTCCAACTGTGTGAAAATAACCACAGCAGATACTGCTCACCAGGCTGTGGCCACTTCTCCTCCTGTGTGTTTTGTACTGTTATTACGAAATGTCGGTGATGCAACACCAGCACTCTGCCGTTTATTGATCATTAACTTCATCTGTTGTTATTCCATGAACTGGTGAAATCAGGTGAACTCTTGACTTAAAATGGCATCATTTATTATGAGTACAGAGGATGTTACGGACAAGGATACTTTTTACAATGTATTTGCCGACTCCAATACTCGCGTGCATCCCTAGTTCTGGTGGCTCAATCCCTGGTGGATACGCAGCGATGTCTCAGTAAAAAACAACCGCTTAAGTTTGGTGTCTAAGAAGCCCCCGGAGGACGCAGCGATGAGTCACAGAAAAACAACCAGTTTTGCTGGTTGTTGGTTTTTACCAGTGTTCTGCAGTGGTCTGTGGCTCGGCAGGCATTTTGCTAAGGTGTCACACCCTAAACCATCCCCTCAGCCTCCCAATGACAGTCAGCTTATACACTAAGTCACTTTTAAAACGTTGATTTGATTCATATAAAACGTACATATATAGTGTATTTGTGGTTTGCAGAAACATGCAATGCCAACATTTTCTTCTAACGACTGGGCTGCTGGGGAAATTGCCTGAATTCCCCAGTTTATAATCCAGCTTTAGTGGCCGCATCTTTAATTGTTTTTTTAAGTAGGAACCCTGTGACCTACTTAACCCTCGCTCGCAACACACATTCTTATTAAACCTGTTTTATTCTTCCAGAGATCCTTTTATATACCTACAGTATACCTTTATCTTTGACTTCAATTTGTATGGGTGAGACAATCCTGCACTGCAGTATTTCATACAGGATTAGGAGAACAGGAAATCAGGAGTAATATAATGTCGCAATAATACCAGTTTATAGAAAAATCAATTACATCATCGGATGCATCCGCTTTGAGGAAAACCTTGATCCTACCAACAATCTCATCATAGCAGACCTGACATAACCACACAGGTGTGCACAGGCTCTCTAGTCTCTCTCTCTTACACACACTCACACACGCACACACATATTAGTCTTCCTATTTCACTATAGTTTTAAATGACTTCTCTGATTTAAGCTAGATCTGATTCTGAACAGAAATACAGTAAAATATGTGCTTAATTTAAATTCCATGCATGATATGTGGTTTTGAAAGAAATAATAGAAAAGCAAGTTTGAGGGACAAAACACGCACCAAACTTTAGACAGTCTGCTCAGGTCACTTTGTCTCCAGAGACTAATTGTTGTTTCATGTCTCATCCCTTTCAAAAACTGATTTCAGAGACTCTTCAGGCTGTTATAAAATACAATTAAATCGGGCTGTTCTCACCAATTGTATGTATGTTTTCCTACGAAAACTACATTCGTATGTATCCCATGTATTTAAAAGGATGTGATCACATGATCAATGCACTGACAGCAGGTTGGGGTGGTGGATGGGTAACAAAAAACTGGACTTTCGCCCGGAGACACATGTTTGGATCTGTGTAAACTTTGAGTGAACTTTGATTCATTTTATGGTACATCCTCACCAACTTTCTTTGCCTAAACCACGGGTCAGCAAAAGAGCCATTTTTGACCAAAACAATTTAAAAATCTGTCTGGAGCAGCAATACAGATTTGTGCCTTTTAGCGACGGCAACACGGCCTATTTAATCTAACTTAGCCAATAAACATTCCTAATAGGTCTAAATAAGCATTCATAGATATGTTTTACAACAAAGTAGCTACTCAGCAGTCGGCTATGTATAATTATTTGGTTCTTAAACTTTGCAGCGTTAGTGGTGAAAGCAAACAAATCTGTCCACTCAGTACAAAATTCCCTTTATTTCTCCGAGACGTTCTCTTTTTTGGATTTGAAATCAACAGCCAGCCTCGCTAAGGAGACTCAAGACTAGCCACCATTATTGAGGTTCTGCAAATTTTAGGAAAACTTGCCAGGCTATAGAAGTTTGATGCACATAGATGACAAGTAGGGATGTTCCTGGCGACTAATTTCACTGTCAACTAAATGAAAAATTGAATTGAATTCAATTCAGTTCAACTTTATGTGTCCCAAAATAGGGCAATTAATAATTAAGTCTAGTCGACTTGTCTAAAAAAAAGGCAAAACACTCAGAAAACAGTAAAAAATTTAGCACAATTTATTGTTAAGTATTTGAAACATTGTCCCAAAAAATATCATGTGTATTAAGAGCCCTTTGAAGCCTTTAATCACAATCTTTAACAACCGTGTCGGATTTTAAATGCCGCTGAAGTACGAGACACCACACACCGTGCGGTAGGAATGTAAACCTGCACATTATCTGACAACAACTCACTTAAAGTTAACAAATAATATAACATCTCAAAAAAGATTAATTGCTGCTGAATTCATTTTCTAGATCGAAGTGCTGCCAAACCGCGCTGGTTTTGTGAGAGGACATCTCTCCAATTTCCCACCGTGCTGTTTTAAAACTGCAGTCTACTCGAGCATTACCGTGAGGAGGGGGACTGCTGTCTGACGGCTCTGTAGCACCCACTAGTGGCGGGCAGCTGCCTTACAGTTGTACATGAACAAAACACTAATTGGTTTAACCGACAAATATTTCTGGTGCTGACTAGCGAGGGGGCGGATGTTTAATCGTTTAGACGTCTAATCGCTAAACTTTCCTTGTCAAAATCTCGAGACACCCAACCATGTTTCCTTTTCTAAATCTAATTAAAGTAACTTCTATTGCCTAAATCTAATTATACAACTGTACATTAAGGATGTAACATCATTCATGGGGCGCAAATTCGCAGGACGTCACACTAACCATTCAATGAGAATACGTTGATTCATGTGACTGCAAACATTAAGAAATGAACATCTAACTACAGGTTTCCCACGGTCATGGAAAACCTAGGAAAGGGTTAGGACATGGAGTTTCACAATCACATTTTCCAGGGCCTAGAATAGTCACGGATTTAGTAAAAAATGTATTAAAAGTTTTGTTATGAAATTGTTATGAAATTGCCACAGTAATCTTCCTTGAATAACGTGCCACATTGATTTACAGAACATCAAATGTATTTTCTGAAGCTGCTCTCTCCCTCTGTGTTTGCCAGCTTACTTAAAAAATGTTTGAATAGAGTTTGAATCTGATATGTTTGAAAACCACCAAGCAAGAAGGGCAAGAAAAAACATTACAATGGGTCCTTGTAAAGTCCTGGAGAAGTTCTGAAGTTGTGTCTATGAAAATGTGAGTGAACCCTGTAACTAGGACTCAGATTTTATCGACCATTTCTCATTTAATAAGCTTTCAAGTGACATTTCAGGGGATAAAATCAATCGTAGTTTTGTGTGACAGTGTGTGACACCTACAGTGTTGGACTCGCTCACACACTGATGTCTTTCATTTGGTTAAATGCCAACATCATCGGCTCAGTGGACATCTGCCATTCAACCATCAGTCATATCTGTAAATGTCAGCAGGGCTGCAACTCGCAAACATTTTTACTATCATTTAATATGTTACCTTTGCACATAATAATCTACTCTATAAAATGTCAGAACAGTGAAAGATGGCTGTCACAGTCTCACAGAGTCCAACATGACCTCTTTAGATTGTTTGTTTTGTCCAGACATGTTTATTTTAGATATGAAATAAAGAAAAGGCAGCAAATCATCACATTTGAGCAGCTGGACCGAGAGAAGGTGTGAACGATTAATCGAGTGTGAAAATGGTTGACGATTCATTTTCTGTCAGCCGATAATTGTTCCAGCATTAAATGTAGTGTCACATATTGTGCTCAGAATACAAACTGTGTGTCTTATATTGAATCAAACATTTAGCAATTCAACATATAACATGAATGAATGTAAACAACATACTAGTTTTTTGCAGGACATGCACATGTTGACATGTCTCTCCGTCTCTCTGAGCCCTGACAGATTTATATAACACACTGACCGACGTGTGGATGAAAACATCAGTTTTCCAGACAGGTGACAACATGTGCCTCGTGTCCTATGTTTTATGTATGACTCCATTAATCTCATTTTGTTTGCGTGCACGTGTATGTCATTCCCACTCACCCCCATCGTCCTCGTCGAAGGAGTTCATGCAGGGGAAGTAGATGGCGAGGGCCTCGAAGGACGCGGACAGGCTGATGCGGCTCTGCGATCGCTCCATGTAGAGGCCCGCCGTCGGCCCGGGGTCGGCCGGCTTGGCCAAGCGCGGCTGGGCATTCTTCACGCGGAGTACGGCTCGCGGCGTCTTGGATGGCTGTCAGCTGCCCCCGACGGCAGATCCACCTCACCCCGAAAAGAAGAGTCGAGCAAGAACCCCCGAGGTGCCTCACACCGAATGAAATCGGTGCAGAAACTTACTTGTGGCAAGTGGCGACAAGAATTCGATGTTTCTCTAGACAAAATGCGAGCTCCAGTGGTGCGAATACATCCTTGTGAAGTGAGATCTGTCTCTGCTGGATGCTCACTTTCGATGAGGTTAAGTGTTCTGATGAATGATATCTTTGTGTATGCTTTATCTATCTGTGCGTAGCAGAGTTGGATCTCAGTCTTCCTGTCATTCCTGCTCTAGTTTTTGGATGCTTGTTTTGCTTCCATTCTCAGGCAGATGCTGGACAACATCCTCCTCTTCATCCCTTGTTGTCCTCAGAAGTCCAGGTGATACTCTGATGGACTTATTGTTGCCTGCTTCTGCGTCTCACCTCCTCCGTCACGCTGATAAACCCTGATCTTGCTCTTTTAGCTTCACAGCAAAACTCCCTGAACTCTGCTCTCTGCATGTCAATCTAACATCCTCCGTCTGTTTGTGCATTCACAGCTCGGATGCCTGGTCTTCCTTGGATCCCGGTGAAGGCAGGAAGATGGGAGGAGACGCTGGTGGTAGAGGTGATGTTGACGCCCAGCCTGAAACGTGTTGCTTCCCGACTGAATCAAAGCTTTTCGTTTCTGTCGCTCGGCGTTATCGTATCCTCGCTCGTTGACAGAGCAAAATCATTTCTTTCACACAGATAAACTGACTTTTAAAACCCAGGAGACGTCAGTTGCAAATCTGCTTCATTTCCAAGCCCAGGTCCGCTGGGAGAGCATCAGTTGCAGCAACAATTGCAACTGGGGGGCAATCTGTTGCTTCTGCTTTGATGTGAACTGTATTAGAGTTGATGCTCTGCTGTAAATGTTCTTAATGTTGTGTTGCTGTCAGCCAGGTTTGCTGTCCTCTTCTTCTTCTCTCCTCCGTCAGTCCTGTGTCGCTCCGCTGCCGTGCCGATGCTCCACTGACTGTCTGCTCCTGAGACGGGAAAGGACAGAGAGAGAGCAAGAGATGATGAGAGAGACAGAGAGGGAGGCTGTGCTGTTTAACAGCTTGTGTCTGACTGGATTCATTCAGCGGCGAGCAGCACGGAGAGCAGGAGAGAGAGAGAGAGCAGGGGGGAAAGGGAGGGGAAAGGAGAGCGAGGGAGCGGGGGGGGGGAAACAGAGGGGATGGAGAGCAGACTGTTGCTGGCAGCTCGACCAATCAAAATGTGGACGAGGGAATATGGGTGTGGCTTGGGGACAGTGGAAGCAATGCAGGGCAGGGCAAGTTTATTATGTCTCTCTCGTTCTTCATCTCACTGTGCCTCTCGATTTTCGCAGTCGCCAACCCTTTCCCAGAAGAGATCACCCGAAACACATGAATCAAAGCTCAGAGAGGTGTTTAAATGCTGAGCGATGCCTCACTATATTTCTTTGAAGCAGAATGTTTGACCCCAGATATGATTGCAGTTACATTTTGTCAAGGTGAAGTGCAGTAGAGTGGAGACCTCTGACAGGAAAATGCTTTGGACAATTCTTGTAATTCCTGAAGTGACACAGCGCGTTTCAGAAGCTTTCCAGAAGCTTTCCAGAAGCTCATAAAAATACACACCTCATCTGTTTTTGAAAGCACGTTGCACAGAGCAGATCACATTTTCCGGCTAACAGGCACTGTATGTGGAATATAGATTCGATGTTAATATGAGAATTAATGTATTTTTATTAACTAAAGCACAGCCACAAATCTTTGACGAGTGTCATTGACAGCTGGACTTTTAACGATATTAACTTTGTCTGTAGACTACAGCACAACCAAGTAGGAAATAAAAGCAAACACAAGTACAACAGACAAAAAAGAAACCGTTTAACTAGACTGCTTACTTACTACTGACCAAATCAACAAAATCTGCAAGTCTACAAAATCGGGCCGAACACTCCCGTTTCAGAAATGCTCCTGGTGTAGTATGACGATGTGCGGAGCATGGAACAAAATCAGGCGGTGCGGCCACGCCTGGTAGAACTGTGCCTCCTAGCTCTCTTACAAAAATGGTGGTGACAAAAACAAAACAGTTGACTTAGTGATCTCGTATTGTGCCCAACTTTGGTGGATCTTGACAGATGACAGTTTTGCAACCTGGTCTCAGTGCGAAGTCACTGAATAGCGGCACTTGGTCAGTGACTTCCAGCGCCAGACACTCATGAAAAAAGCCATCCTTTCATGTTGGCACGATAGTGGCCTGTTACTGTTATTGTTTAATGACACCCAGCAGTGTCAAGGGGAAACGGGACAATAAGGAAAGTTAAGGAGGCAAGAGTCCGAGTACGGTAGGTGGGTGGAAGGGGTGCTGGATGGGTCCAGCAACCACTGACTTTCACCTGAGTGGTCAGTGCTCGCTTCCAGCAAGATTTTAAAGCCAAACTCTGTTCTTTTGTCCTAAACTTAAACCTTGCATGTGTTGTTGAAAGAAAAAACATGAATTTGCAGTGCTGTACTGACGTCGTGCTTTTGTTTTGAAAGAGACTGTATGCAAACTGTACATTTCCTGTGAAAACAGAAGTGTATTTTGAAAGAAGACAATGCATGTAACAGGCACAACTTGACACGGCGCCCGAGAAAGTCAACAATCAACGCACCCAGGCTATCTTGCACGTCATTTCCTAGACATGGAAAGTCCACGACCAAACAGCAATATGCGATGAGGTCGGAGTGAGAATGTGTGAGATGTGTTTGAGCCATGACAAAGGCCAAAATGTGTCCTGCAACAGACGGTAAGTCTTGTTGTTTTTAGCTGATTTCTAGAAAACTTGTGACCCCTACCAACTGGTTAAGAGGAGACAGGAGTCAGCAGTCAGTGAATATTAGGCTGATTGGCCCAGTGGTTTGTTTCATTATCTCTACCAGGTTTACGCCTGGTAGAGACGATGAAGAAGAAGAAGCACTACTGACATTCATTTGACACTCATTTAATCAGCACTAATTCTTACCTGTGTAACAAATCACAGCAGATGGAAAAACTGTCTCTACCAGCTTTATATGCCCACAGTGAAACCAGAAATCTCTTAGTGAAATTACAGGGTCTTGATCAACAGATTAAGTTCATAAACTCACAGACAGCAGGAGATTCATGTGACATGAGCGATTGCTTGTAGATGTTACACGTCACAAAATGTGTGGACTGTAAACAAACATGGGGCTTTATGAAATGTGCATCTGTCTAATGCAAACCATGTATGTCCAAAATTGTTGGCTCTTAGTTTTTTGTTTGAAGAGAGATATTCACACATCCAAATGTCTCAGATGCAGGTGCACTGGAAAATATCACTTGAGTCTTTGAACAGAAAATTGTGCATGCCGCTCCTGCTCAACTTCACAATTTATCAGTGACACTAACATTTCGGTCCAACTGGACCTTCGTCATAAGTCCAACACTGAACCATGCTGTGACAGAAGTGGTCAAGACTCTTTTTTTTAAGATTATTTTTGTGGGCTTTTTTGCCTTTACTGACAGGACCGTTAGTGAAAGAGGAAGACAGAGAGAGAGTGGGGACTGACATGCAGCAAAGGGTTGGAGCCAGATTCGAGCCCGCGGTCGCTGCAGCAAGTCAATGCCTCTGTACACGGGGCGCCATCCACTACACTACCGACGCCCCGTGTTCAAGACTCTTGACGAAGGTCCAGTAGGGTCAAAACGTTATGATTCTTAGTTTTTTAAAAATCTTAGGGACGAAGCGTTGACCTACTTTTAACCTATGAGACAAATGCACATTGTTCTGCTGCTCTCTGATAAAAGCCTCCAATGGAAAGCTTTTATTGTGAAAGAAGAGGGTCAGGAAGTAATATCGTATTAAAGTAGCAGTAAGTAAATAAAGCAAACACAGCCCCCATATGGCTGTAGGGAGCATTCAGTTCTGACAGGTGAAATATAACTTAGAAAGATCGATCACTGTCGACGAGTTGACGTCCCCTCCTCTGTAGAATAATTATATCTTTCATGAGTCTCCGTCTGACTTTGTTCTCTCTCTGTCTATTTATTCTTAACCGTCTTTCATTCCTCCCTCTTTCTCACCTCTTCTCTCCCTCCTCCCTGTGTCTCTGCCTGTAATCGTCTCCATGTTGTGCACCGCTTCCCTCTGCTCCTCTCTGTTCGTCTTGTTTTCTGTGAAGCAGAGAGGGGAAGGAGGGAGGAGATGGGCTGTGTAATCAACGGTGCTTCACAGGGCTCCATTCATCTCTCTGCTTCCATAGATGGAAGCCATAGGGAACACACACTCACACACACACAAACATAATCAAAACAAACAGGCACACTGCAGTTCATGACGTTCAAACACACACACGCAGACAAAAGAAATGTATAGTGAAAAGCTTCTTTATCACGGTGTTACCACATGTGTGACAAGACTGGACCTGTTCAGACTGTCGGCTCAGATTTGTTTTTCAGGCATGTCCGGATTGATTTCAGAAAATCAGGACATTGAAAAGCCTGAAATTAAAGAATTTTTGCAAATCGGATTCAAACCACATTTGGAGGTGTTTTGAAATGTGAGTCCAGTTGGCTTCCACAGATGGGTCTCAGCCTGGACACTCCAGACATTCAAAACACATTTAAAAATGTCTTTTACGTCACTCACACTGCAACACACAACATCAGCGTCAAATCAAGAGTGACGGAAAGAGCCATATCCAAACAAATCAATAAATATAAGTTTGGAGGGCGAAATGATGGACCTCCATTGCTCATGTTTTCGTGCTGGAAAGCTGCGTCACCAGTGTAAATAAGTCGTTAATGATGCTTACGTTGTTACCACAGCAACCCATGCATATAGGCTGGGGGAGCCGGTCTCACTTCAAAGTCACTGAAATCCGGCACT